TAATATATATTTATTAATAATTTATATTAATTAAAATATAATATAAATAAATAAATAAACAGAAAATAAAATGAATAATATATATTAATTAAAATTTTCTTTAAATAATAATAACAAAAGGACAAAAAAACACAAAAAACACAAAAAAAAATCATATTGAAGGTATATAGGGGTACCAATGGTAACCCATAAGGGTGTCATTAACCTCTCTCAAAGGGAAATCCCATTACATTTGGGTTCGGTGGGCCTTTACGCGGCCTTATAAAAGAAAAGAGGAAATGTTGGTTTTTTTTTTAAATGTTCTAATTTAGGATTATTTTTATAATTTGTTTTTTTATATGCTATTTAAATTATATTCAGTTGAAATTGACGGAACAAAGAAGATTAATCATCATCTGATCAGTAAATGATGACAGATCTACTAAAATTCAGCAACTATTATCGTATGTGCCTTGTGAATGTAGTAAAACATCTAAAACCCAATTCATATTTAAGTAGTTGGTCTAGTGATACTGATGATATAAGTTGGTCATCTAAATCTTGACTAACCAATCCAAGATAACTGAGGGGTTAACTCTGTCTTAATTATTTAAATTTAAAAACGACAGTCAAATTGTAGACCCATATAAAGTTGTTGCTAATAACTCCATTGAACGCTAAACAACGCATATTTCTACATCATAACTTACGATTAACGCGACTTCGGAATTATATTATGCATCCATGGATAACGACAATGTGAGAGACCATATCACAAGCAACGCCAAAAGGTGGCTTCAAGATCATCAAAACACGATTTGATACCATTTACTCGGTCCAAGATTCTATAAATACTAGAGAATGAACGAGAAGTGTAATATCCAAACGTCTTAACTAATTAAGCTTTCAACTAGGAGCATAAAAGACCCATGATTTTAACGAGCTACTCAAACTCGAGAGATTAAAATTTTCAAATGAGCCGAGTCGGGCTCTAACCTGGTATTTATTTTTCAAGTCGATCTCGAATAACCTACTACTCGACTCAACTCGTTTCGAGTGAGTGATAATATTTTTTTTTAAACAACCGTATTGATGACAAAAACATCTCTTGATATAAATTATGAATTGTAGCCGTATAAAAATAACAAACTCCATTCTATATATCCTACAAAACCTCAACTTTTTCCTTGTCTCTGTTCTTCTTCGGCCGCCCCGTTTGCTTTGCATCTTTACCCATCAAAAACTTCATCGCTTTCTCCAGGGTTATGTCGTCCGGATTCGTGTTCTGCATTCAAATCAAACATTTAGTGCTTCAGTAACATCTAACCACCATTGCACTGTTTCGTTTTCAGGGTGTTCCATACTACTCCCGCAATCAAAAACGCACATAGTTCTAGAAATGTATAATTATTACACGCGACACATAGTTCTGGAAATGACTATTTTACCCTATAATAACAGAACAGCCTATCCGCCTTATAACCAACGCTAGAATTGGAAACGTGTTTTGGTTTAAAGTCGCAAACCAAAAGTGTACAAAGTTTCTCAATTGACCACTGCAAAATATGTGGAAAACCAAACCATCTAAAGGCAACTGTTTTAACTTGAGTAAAGTCGCAAATGAATTTGATGTGTATATTTACATACCTTTGGTACTGGCGCTTGTGTACGTCTATGTTTTACCGACAGTCCAGCCCTCGCAAGCTTCAGCACCACTGGTTGCCCATCATCCGGATGTTTTCCCTGATTAATTTATGTATTTAATATCAAGTCGAGAATAAATATACAAACTTGATCCCCCTAAAAAGCAATCAGATTCAGATAATTAAGGAGGCGTACCAAAGTGATGGGATAACGCAGCAACTGAAGAGCATCTTCCAAGGTAATAGAGCTAACATCTGAAATCTGATGATTACATTACAGCAAAATTACAACTCAATAATTGAACTATCAAACTCAGCTCAAAATTAACTCAACCAGTACAAAGTCGATCTTCTGTTGCATTTTTACTTTGGTGTGGGAGTGGGTAGAAGGGGAGTTGAAGATTAAAGAGCCGTTTACTGACACAAGTTGGGTAAGCAGTTAAGCACTAGCATACAAGAGTGCGGTCTAGGTAAGTGGCGATTGAAAATTTTACCATTATAACCCTCTATTTAATTAAAAAGAGGGGGTTAAAAATACTCAAATGTTTATAATGTCCTAAATTGATTTATTTTGTTTAATTATATTATCATTTAAGTAATAATTGATATATATTAATCATTTACAAAGTTCAAGAGAGAGCAAAAAAAAAAAATAGATTTGTACTAACAATTTGCAAGTATGTCAAGCTAGGGCTTCTATCAAAATATTAATGGGCTTTATTTCTCTTATTGCTTGGTTAATTGGAGTTTTTGATAGAAATTGATTGGTTAAATTTGAGAATAGTTACTTCAGATGTGTTCACTAAGGCCTTGTTTGTTTTTTGAAAAAAAAGCTCTTATTAGCCTCTTATGTTTGATTCGTTAAGATGTAGGGTCATTCAGACTGTTTGTTTTTTCCAATTTTTCAGAGGTACTTATATCTTATTGTCCTCTTATCTGATAAGAGGTAAACCAACCTCTTATTGTTCTCGAAACCTTTACCAACTATGTTTCTCAACCGATTAACCTTAATCGATCATTTCTCTCAATTGATCATTTACCAAATCGATCCTCACATCTCTCAATTGGTGTATTTTAATAGGATTTAAATGTGTTAAATATTGTTAATGGCATATTTTTGTTTAAATGAATGCTAGTTATATAATTTAAATATAAATTTCGTAATGATGATGAATAAATATGTGAAATTGTATAAATTTATCTAAAAATTCAACATTATAATTTTCTATTCGGTAAAATAGACAATTTAAATAAATTCAGACATTAATCAATTTACAAAAACAAATTGTCTTATTGATTCAGATTTCAGACTTCAGCGCCATCTCTCATTAATCAGAAGTTAAATAAGACTTTAGACTTCAGCACCTCTTAAAAAACAAACGCCACCTAAGCCTTGAAGCTTTTGTTGCTCATTAATTAAGGTTTGACTTCTGTTACCATTTATTAACACTTTTTTAAGAAGTCTAGGAGATGAGAAGATGAGAAAACTTATTTATATTAGGGTTTGACTAGGTATTTAATAACTCTTTATGAGGCATGCCTAGGCCCACAAGGCGCCTCAGCCAAGGCGCGTGAGCCTTGTGAGTTGTGAATATGCCTAGCATTGACTTTAAAAAAGCCCAAGACCTTGAGCCTTATGAGCCTCAGATCCTAGGGGTGCTTTTAACAACTATACTGGATTGAATGTTGCTTTGGTGTTAATTCTGGTGTGAATGTGCTACAACCTTGGCACTGTTTCAAGGTATTTTTGCACTTGATGTGTGTCTGTGTCAGCAAGCTTTAGTCGCTTTCAACCAAAAGTGTTTTGGGTTGTCTGCCTCGTTCTGCTGTCCAACAGCTTTCGGTGGTGGCTACCAACAGTTTCTGGTTAAGTGGCATGAACGACCTGACGATAACTGCAATCGGATTACTGCACATGAATTCAAGAGAATGAATCCTAATCTTCTAAAGCTTTATGATTCTTTTACTTCAGTCGAGGTGACTCTTTCCCAAGAAAGGAAAGATGATAGAAACCGCAACGAGTCTATTCTGGTTTATTTTAGTCAATGTTGGTGTCTTAATTTTGTCCCAGACCAAGAACATAGTGTTTCTTTACTGTTTCGTATTTAGTTTATTTGGATTTGTCACACATCAAGAACACAAGTGTATCTTCCTTGTTCTGTGAGCTGATGTTCATAAGCTTACGCCATTTCATTTAAATTCAGTCTAAAAATTATTCTCTTTAGTCATATCTTATTTTCATGTGATGCCAAATATCTTAGGTGTGAAACCTTAAGAAGATTTGAATGTTTTGAAGAGTGATCCGTCAAACCTGTGGTCTCTTTTCTATTAGTTAATTCTTTAGATTATTTTTCATGTTCGCAATGCATCATAAAACCTCTGAACATCAATTTTTTAGTACTAGATAATGCCTTAGGTTTGAAACCCAACAGTTATTATTACCACCATCACAAGTATTTTCTACTGTAAATGGGCGGGCACAGGAGCAAGTGAAAATAAACTAAAAAGTCTTCCAGAAAATCACTATGCATAACGATGCCAGTGTAGTTCCAAATTTATATGGTTATTACTTTAATTTGTAATACCCTAAATATCATATATATTATATCAATCCCACTTGGGAATATTGAAGTTCTTTAGGCTGTGATCGTGTCTCAATCAAGACTAGCAAGACAATTCTGCACAGGCAGTAGTAGATCACAACAAAAAGTTTAAAACGAACATCTTGCTCAATTAGCATAGACGTGATCAATATAGCATATATTAAGCATGTTCTGAGGAATTAGGATTATAAGATCAGCCAGTACAAAAAATGGCATGAAAGAAATTAATCAATATACCTGGGAGACAGAAGCTCGTTTAGGCAAGTGTCCCTTTTTGTCTTCTCCAAGCTGAACATAGTGACCATATGGACCATCCTTCAATAGAATCTTGAAAGATATAAACAAAACAAGAGTGGACGGTGAGATGTAATCTATATTCATAAAAAAATATTTCTCTAAATATTAGTTTAAGAAGTATAAAAGATATAAGAGAGATGTAAACCTTTTCATTAGAGCCAGGATGCAGACCAAGAACCTTCGGCTCCTCCACAGCTCTGCCATTATCTGGGCTTGCATCGTCATCATCATCACCATATAATGTCTTAGCAATATACCTTTAAAACATGTCAAATGCTATAAATGTTAACAATCAATAGTTGAGGTAGAAGATGTTATCAGTTGAAAGGTTCTCTACCAGCATAACTTCAGTAATATTTTAATGGTTAACTAGAGCTATAAAACTTCGTAATCGTTTTATGCAACTAAAAAGCAAACAATTGGCAGACCATAGACCACAGTCCTTTTTATAGAGCAAAGAGTACGGCAATATAAAACTGGTTTGCTAAAGAAAGATTCAAAAAATTAGTGCACACCAACTCTGGTGATGTTTAAGCTTCATGCTGACTTAACATAAAATAACAGGATGAGGATGGTTGCAGGATCTATAAAAAAGAAACTGCAACACAATACACGAGAAAATTAAAAAAGATCCGACTATCAAATGTCAAATTTTTACATCACTTGCAGATGTTGGACTGCCAACTTCTTCGGTTGAATGTTGACTGCATGACCAGGAATGGCATAAAAGTAATACCCCTCAAACCAAAATTGTCAGCATGATTGCCAACAATTGGACACAAAACATGAGAGGTGACCCAGGGAATACAAAAAGATCGGTTACAGGCTAAATGCAAAACAAATTAAAAAACATATAGAAGAAAAGGCAATAAGACACCATTGAGAATTATCAAGTCATCAAATAGTAATTTCGGACTAAGAAAAAGAAAATGTAATTTGTCATTCAATATTTTAGTTCCCAAATATACTTCTATCCTGAATTGCGAGTGAGACTCGTAGCACATCCTTTGTTTGATTTTTCACCCATGTTTCTACTGTCTTTCGGTTCACATATAGAATTCTGATCCTCAGATTAGCATTACAGATATCCAGTTATGAACTCCATTTCTGCAATTAAAGAGTTCGTCTAAATCTGCTTAACCGAACAGAAGGGAAAGCCTATTGCTAGTTTCACAACTACCGACTTTGCAATACTCTAAATCACCAAAAATCTATTGACAAGAAGAAACAGAAGAATATATTGCAAGAGTCTATAATTTTCCATGGAGTAAAGCGTTTGTTACCATAACCACACATAGAATGATTAAGACTTCGATTAAGATCTAAACCACACTATGGAGTCACATTGCTGGAAGGTAGAACTTACTTGCACTGTGGATGTTGATCACAACCAATGAAATAACCTGCACCAAATCGACTAACTTTGAAAATTAAAGTACCCTCGCTACAGCTTGGGCATGTTCTACTTTGGTCAGGAAGAGAAGCGAACAAGAAATCACCAAATGTTTTCTCCAACATCTTCTCCACCTGATGAATATGAACAACACTAGCACGTTCACAATACTTGCTAAATCTTGTCCAATAATCTCTAAGTAGACCTTTCCATTCAGTCATACCCCCCGAAACATTATCAAGTTCAGTCTCCATATCAGCTGTAAAGCTATAATTGGTAACCTCAGAGAAGTGATGATAGAGGAATGCTGAGACCATACGCCCACGAAATTCTGGATAAAGTACTCTATTTTTTACTATAACATAATTTCTATCCTTCAAAACTTTGATTGTGGTTGCATAAGTTGAAGGTCTACCAATTCCAAGCTCCTCCATCTTTTTTACCAATGAACCCTCCGAGTAGCGTGGCGGATGTTGAGTATGATGTTGCTTGAGTTCTAACTTTCCAAGACTCATTGAATCCCCAGACTTTAAGTTATTGAGAACCTCAAAAGACTCATTTTGCTCATCTTCTTGGTCTTCATCATTCCTAATTGTCTCGGTTTCAACATCCTTATATACAGCCTGGAATCCAAGAAAGTCCTTTCTTGAGCTTGAGGCTCGAAAAATAATAGAGCCAATAGCATTTCCAATATCAACTTGTATTTGTTCACTGACTGAAGGTTCCATTTGACATGCAATTGAACGAGACCATATTAGAGTATACAATTTCAAGCAATCTTCATCAAGAATTCCAGCAAGCATCGAGGGAAGCCTTTGTATATCTGTAGGCCTAATCGCTTCATGGGCCTCTTGAGCATTTTTTACCTTCTTGAAAAACTTGCGAGCATTGTTCGAGATAAAATTATGTCCATATCTTTCTGTAACAAATGACCTAATGTCCTCAACAGCTCCATCAGATATGTGTAATCCATCGGTTCTCATGTATGTAATCAACCCTGCTGACTTGCCATCAGGCAACTTAACTCCTTCATATAGCTTCTGAGCAAGTTTCATGGTATATGCTGATGGAAAGTGTAATTTGCTTGCAGAATCTTGTTGAAGGGTAGATGTTATATATGGAGGTGGAGATATTCTCTTGTACTTCTTTTTACTAGATCCAACTACTTTAAACTCTGAAGATCTGAGCACATCCTCAATAGCATTTGCCTCCATTTGACAAGTTACCGACATTTGGTTTAGCTTTTTGGAAGCATAATGTGTCAAGTGTGATGGGCAAGAGAAGTTGCTTGAACCCTTTTCCTTATTAAACCCACCTTCAATTGTCCAATACTCTTGTGGTTTAAATTGATCAATTTCCGTCTCCCTATCACATATAATAGCTAAAGCAACAGACTGGACTCGACCAGCTGACTGGCAACCAGGCAACTTTCTCCATAATAACGGAGATATGTTGAATCCAATCAAATAATCAAGAGCTCGTCGTGCAAGGTAAGCATGAACCAAGTTGAAATCAATGTCTCTTGGAGCCTGCAAGGCTTCTTTGATGGAGGATTCAGTTATTTCATTAAACACAACTCGGGCTACGTTAATATTTTCAGGCAACGCATTTTGTTGTTGCAACATCTCAATGATGTGCCAAGCAATAGCCTCACCCTCGCGATCAGGATCTGACGCAAGAATAAGATTTTCAGTTCTGAGAAACAAAACAGAACAAGATGAGAAGCAATACAAAGATAAGTGGTGGCATGATTAACATGAAAGCTTGCACATAAAACGCAAAACATGCTCCTCTCTTATATTTTATATTGTGTTCACAGTATTTGTTATAGAAAGAATGGTATAAAGGTGAAGGGGTTTGGGACTCCTGTCCAAAATTTTACTTTCTCCATTTTTCATAAAATTTTATGAAATCCCCATTTATAGAAAATTTGTAAAAACTTGCATAGATTTACGATGTTGTTTTTAGGCAGTACAAATAGTCTATCAATTTCTGGTGTTATATAATCAAAATCCATTAATGGTATTAATATCCATGAGTAATTGTTATTTCTATTTTATTTATTAACATGGATATCCAACCCACTATGCGAGCCGACTAATCCCAGGACGACTACCTGCTTTGCGAGTAGCCCGGAGTCACTGCATTTGAACCTCCGTGGCCACAAGGGGATTTTCATTTCTCCTTGGCCTGGGACCTCCGTAATTGTTATTTCTATTTTTTTTCTCAACTATCGTGCTTCTTTGCTATTTAGAAAGTATGCTGGTTCATTCCATTATTTGATGCCACCTACACATATCCATTAATGCATGAATAGCCATTAAGTTGTTCATTCCATCTACACATATTCATTAATGCATGAATAGCCATTAAGTTGTTCATTCCATAAACTTGTTAGAAATTCTACTCACTTTATCAAATTAGGAATGGATAGACTTTGTAAGCAAACATTGAACTTTTAGCAATTATGAGAGGATATGAAACACTTTTAGCAATTATGAGAGGATAAGGTTTCATACTCAGCTAATGCGACCTTGATACTCTTAAGATGAGTCCAGGCAGCAGAAGGAACTTCCCAAACCATGCTGAAATCGTCTTCTGGTCGCACAGATCCTGACCTTGCAGCCAAGTCCCTTACATGACCATAACTAGGAAGGACTTCAAACATGTCTCCAAGATATCCTTGAATGACTTTTGCCTTTGTGGCAGACTCCACCACCACAACAGATTTACCAGAGGGAGGATACAGTGGGCTTATTTTTTTATTCTCGACAATTGCGCTGGTTTTTGACTTTGAAGGTAATTCACCAACAGTTGAGTTTTCCACAGTAGATTTGACCTGTATTTTGGGTTTTCTTTCCCGAGTCTTATTCGTTGTCCCTTTGGATTGTTCCTCTTCCAAACTTACTTCAATTGAAGAATTCAAGGTTGAGCCAACCTGAAAACAATACCATTCAATTGACATATTGCTAAAAGAAAGCATATAACTTTGCTTACATATAAAATTAACTTTACATACCTTGGCACTCTTGGACTTTTTTGATTGAGAAACTTTTCTAGAACTTGCTTGTGGTGCTGGTTCCTCAGAAGCAACAGTAGACTTCTCTTTAACTTTTTTAATTTTCGTTTGCTGCTTCTTTTTCACTTTGGCCTTGGACAATTGATCTTCCTTGTTAGTGAGAGGTGGAACAACAACATTCATTTCTTTCTTGCCATCTTCTAAAAGTGGATCTCTGGAGGCAATGGAATCATGATTCTCAAGGGCATTTATGCTAGATTTAAGATATGTTCTTCCTCCAAATTCTAATGGCTTCTTGTGAGTCAATGTTTTAGATTGCTTCCAATGTTTATTAAATGCAAGGAAGGATTTGCTCTTCCCCCTTTTTTCTCCATCACATGCAATATTTTTAGATGTTACTGCTCTTGGGACCTGAGAGAAAGTGAAGGCACCTTTATAGGGTGCAAAGAATCCAAAGCCACCATTTATTATACCATAATTCATTGGTTCCATGTAGTCTGCAGAACCACTTCTTAATAGTGGCTGAAAAGGGAAAGCAGAGTAAGACCCATTAGTTCGGCTTTCAAAAGAAAAAGAGGCTCTTCGGGGCTTGAGGCTTGTAGCTTTAGCAAATCCACCACTGACTACAGTGACCCTCCTCAACCCAACTCTGAAAAGTCCCTCACATGTATGACCACGTCCACAACACATACGAGTGCTTGAGAAACTATGTAATGCCCTACTCTGAACATTGAAATAATTAAGGTAAACTTAAATGAAGATAAATCATCTTGCTATCTATCCCAGGTAGAATGACCTTGATAATAACAATTTTAAAGTTCCAGCATGTTCAGCAAATAGTTGCAAGTGAGCATAAATAACTAATGACTTTCCAATCCCATAAAAATATGAAAGACCATACCACCTTAAACCAGTCATCTCAAAACACGCTGCTCAAATGTGGTTTACACAACCTAAACAGTTTGCTTGTTTTAAGCTAATAGATGACTATGTATGTAGCATTATTAGTCCAGCAATAACGGGTTTCCTTGACAACAAATAAGCCAAATGCAAAAATAGATCACCAAAAATAGCTACAATTGAGTCAAATTAATTGAGTTCCAATCCAAACTAGTTAAGAAAAAAAAATCCGTAAATATTTTGTGTTCTGCATATATATTAGACTCAATTAATGAAGATTTGTTGGAAAAACAACTCAACATAAATTCATCTACACTTTTAGAAAACACAAACTTTTTGTTTAATTGAATTAGTTACTAGTTTACAATTGTTTTCCTATTCTCTCTTTTATATTCAGATAAAAGTGTGATTACGTAATATGTTTTAGAGTCCATCACGAAGTGGAAGTAGGACGTCTTTTCATTTAAGGTACATTCATAATTCTGAATTGCAATAAAAAATATAAGATAATTAAAAATGAAAAAACTACACTGAACAGAAACTTCACCATGATCACCTCAACCCGAGAAGTGCTGTAAACACAAAGAGGCGGTGGTGGTTATGGAGTTGGTGGCAATCAAGCCTTTCTGAAGCTGTGCAATGACTGTCGTTAACCCACTCGACATGTCTCAAAGACCAAATCTTTGGTCCGCATCATTACAAAAACTTAACACAAACCAGTTGTAGATCCAGGAATTTGAAGCAGGGTAAGCACAGTGTGACGGTGTCTACAAGAAAATAAAACCCGATCCAATCATAACCATACAATTCAAAATAACGATGAATTGTTTAAAAACCACAACAATAATATTGAATTAACAGTTTAAATCATATATAGATAGAGGGTAGTTTTCCATCAAATTCTTTTTTGCGATATCTAAATCAAAATAATAGTTGCTATCGTCAAGTTTTCATACTTTGGAAGTGATTTATCATATTATCCGGTGGCCACGGCGAAAAGTCCAATTGATGTCCAATTAAAAACATCCAAGTGTGGTAATTTACAATTGTCTAGCTTTTTCCTTCATAGACCGAGAGATTCATTAGTGTTTTTTGTTCATAAGTGTGATGTTATAGTTGAGTGTTTACTTTAAAATAATTTATTAAGGTTTCTTTAATCAAGTTGTTATAGCCCCTGCGTTTAAACACCAACTCATCCACTTGTCCAAAACCAAAATAAGGAGCATCATAACACTAACTCATCTACTTGTCCCATTTACTACATCCCACGTCTTCTATATAAACCAAAATCGTCTTCTATATAAACCAAAATCGTCTGCTATATAAACCAAAATCAACACTCGTACCTTCTCAATCCAACTCCAAACACTTAACTGGTTGGTTCTTCTTCAATTATTTACACACTACAACATCAATGGCTCATTCCTACTTCACTAATTTTGTCCTACTAGTTTTAGTCACTTAAGGTGTTTGCCTATGAAATTAGCTATTGCATGACTCCATTAGTCCATCATGTGTTTCATATAATCATATTTAGGGTCTTGACCAATGACAATCATGAGTTTCATATGTAAAATTGCAAAGTTAAGGGAGAACAGTCAAGTAAATTAGTTACTGCACATTCAAGTGGGGGCAAATCATCACTTAACTACTGCACATTTATAGGTCTGTTCAACTATATTATAGTTGCTGAAATTGTGTTAATATACATCAAAATCTAATGGGATTAGAACAAAAATCGGTGGATGATAACTTGAATATTAATCACAGAACGAAGAACTAAAACTTCAGAGATAGGCTTTGATTGATTCGATGAACAACTAGATCAATTAATAACAATAGTATTCATTTAACTTTAAACAAACTTAAAAACTTACTTGTGCAGTTGAAGAGTCAATCTAAGAGAAATCAACAATGCAAGCTTCTGATAATTTCTGCAGCAAATTCCTTTCCTCTGCCTCTTTTACTGTACCTAGGCTGGGATTAAAGAAATAAGGAATATTAACATGCCAAATAACCAAACTTACAATAAACTCAAAACTTGAAAGCTCACCATTAACCAAAGACTCGGCTTCCCTACACTTAGAAACATAAATGACAAACCACAAAGGACCACCCAACAATTAACAAATGGCAGCAAAAGGCATGGATTTCAATCAGGATTTAGGCATACATGATACATTAACATTATACATACAGACTAACAGGCATACAGTGAAGTGAATCAAGTAAATACAGTAACAAGAATTAGAAACATAAATGACAAACCACAAAGGACCAATTCCACAGCTTCATACTTAGGCTTTGTAATCAAACAAGAATTAGAAACATAAAAAATAAAATAAGTAAGGGGATGTTTGTTTGGCTCTTAATGGTTACATTAAGAGCCAACCTCTTAATCGGTAAGAGGTCAAGGTTGTTTGGCAAAAAAAATGGCTCTGAATGGTTACA